TGTAGAGAAATTGGAGCTTCTACCGTCAATGTTATAAATGCCAACACAAAAGCTCCTTATTGGTGGTTAGTTCCATGCGAATTATTCCAGTAAGGAGAGAGGGAAACCTATCTGAATTTTGAGCCATACATAAATAAGGTTGATATAGGCTTAACTATTCTACTCATAAAGTAGAACTCAGGTTCCGAAACAAAATACAGCAAAGCTTCACATATCGCATTCAATAACATCTCTCCATCTCTTTTANAATCGCATTCAATAGCATCCCTCCATCTCTTTTTTGGTCTTCCTCTACATCTTCTTCCTTCAACATTCATTTCTATAACTGTTCTTACAGCTTCCGATTCTCCTCTCCTCATAACATGACTAAACAATCTAAGTCTATTTTCTATCATCTTATCCACAATTGNTCTATTTTCTGTCATCTTATCCACGATTGACGCAACACCTATACTCCCTCCTATATGCTCGTTCCTTATCCTATCTTCTCTAGTCACTCCACTCATCCAACTAAGCATTCTCATCTCTGCTACACTTATTCTCTGCTCTACTTTCTTATCAACCGCCCAACACTATGAACCATACATCATAGCTGGCCTCACAATTTCATACTAAATTTAAAAACTATAATTAGTATTTATTCATATATTATATTTTAAAATCAAAGAACTACTAATCAGGATATAATTAAAGAAATAAGAGTTGATGTTGCTTTTAAAATATTTCACCAATTTCTCTAAAGGAAACACTATCTACAGATATGCATCGAAGCGTTTCTTATGATAGTGATTTTAATAAGGAAATAGTTTTTTAAATATTACAACAACGCCTTGTTTACATTTTATTCTCATATACAGTACACACCTATTATCGAACAGTTATTAAAAAGGTCTTGCGACAAAGTCCTAATGCCGAGGATTCTACAAATAATTAAATAAACTTAATAATACTAGATTACATTATACATATTTTTATTCAAAACATCATCACACATGTGATGTGATAAATTTGTGTAGTACAGATGTTTAGCATCAAGTTTTCGTGACGAACACCATATTGATTGACCGACCTTGTTTGTATTGAGCTAGAAAATGATTTTTTGTCGTTATGTTGTCAAACTAAGAAGTTATTTTATCAATTCTCTTACAATTTTAGCCTTTTCACACACGCTAAATTTCATAATAACATAAAAAATTATTAATTGGAAAACTGACTAAACTTTGAAATACAAAAAAAATTTTTAATACTTTCTAAAATGGCTATAAAATAACTTATACAAATTTATTTTATAAATCTTAATTATATATTGCTTATACTAAATCGAACCAAATGGCTTTTAACAGTCAAGTAGGTCATCGCTGTACTTCAGTGTAATTTAATAACACAGCTATCTAATTTTATATAAATTTAATTTTTTTGAGGGGTTGTGAAGACTTGTGATACTTTTGATGGAATTTTACACCGGCTACCGTCTTGACGCAACCTCATTATGAATGAACCCCACTATGGAGAAAAGGTATGTGTCACTGTATAAGTTCCCGTATGATCACTCCTCATCCGGAAACTGACAGCAAACAGCGCAGTTGAACATTAGCACTAAGGCGGTTACTGAATGATCTACTGCGCCACACCACGCCCCGACACCCGATATACACCAATAATTTTTATTCACAAACAACTTATCAAATGTCTCTAGAAATTCTACATTCTCTAAACTTATAATAAATTAAAGGTATTATAATACACTTAAAATGAAAAATAACATTTTTCCGCACGACTTATTTTCAATGTGTTAACGTTTTCTGAAGTTAACAAACAATTAGATTTTTCGGTAAAAAATCGCTGTTTATTGTACTGTTATTATTATATATCAAGTACTTTTAGCTTCGATCCGAAGCTGAGAAGGTATTGGTTTTACTAAGATGTGTTTATTTTTTTTTTTT